TGTCTGCGTCAATAATGCTAATACGCTTTCTGGCCGTCGTGTTTAAACTCAAGGCTTGTTTTCTTCAGCTTGTTTACACAGCAAATGATTGTGTTGGAGTATTGTGTTGAGCTTTATACGAGTCCAGGGTGATTGATGGGCTTGTTTCATTACACAATTGAAGGCAAACGTCAGTTCTGTTCATTTTTAAGGCCTTCTTGTTTGTGGAATGATCTCCTGATAGAAACCAATTTCAGAATCACAGATAATATTCAAGATTTACTCATTATTTACTGCATTGGTCAGGTAAGATTTTTTCACAGAGTGTAATAAATCTTAATGGTTTTGTGGGTCTCGTCTAGCCAAACTGATCTTAATTTTGTGTTTTCTATTGGATTCAAGTCAGGTAATTGGCTGGGCCATTCTACAGCTTGATTTTCTTTTCTAAAGGCATTTGAGAGTTTCTTTGGCTGTGTTTTGGATTGTCGTCTTGCTGAAATGTCCACTGTGGTTTCATCTTCATCATCCTGCTAATGTAGATGTTGGACTGAAGCATCGAATATTAATTTACACTGAGGAAGGGCAGAGGGTTGCTGAAGAACTACGGAGAGATTTCAGCTGCTGTCTGAGCTTTCACCTCCCTTTCATCATGTGCTCAATACTTTTTTCCTGTGTCATTTCATTTTATTACACATGACATCATTTGTAAACTAATTGGATTTGTTTTTGTTTTATATTTGTATTTCTTTGGATGTTATTAACATCTGGTGAAAATTTCATGTCAACGGCACCTTTAGGAATATGTTATCAGAGGAAAATGGTGACTTGCTGAATACTTATTTCCCCCACTGTATATAGGCTCTATTTAATCAAACTAATTAAGTTAAACATTACCAAATTTAAAGTATTTGTTTAATTTCAGCCCATATAAATTGTTCGCAACTAGTTACCTTAAAAAAAAATTGTAAAATTGTAAAAATTTTCAGTGTACTATTTGGTTGGGTTAGTTTACTTTATGTAGGTAAGCATTGTTTAGATATTGTTCAGCTCAGTTTAGTTACATGTAATTATGCATAATGCATTATAGTTACCAACATTTTTTTTGACTAATAATATATATAATTGTATACATTTATTTATTTTATGATATAATGTCGAGCATTTTCTACTTTATTTCTCCTGTCGTGTCCTCTTGTGTCCCTCAGTTTTTGTCCTCTGATTCTGCAGTGTTTGAGAAGGAAGTGGGATTTCAGGTGTAACTTTATCTAGTTGTTTATGGAACTGAGTCTGATAAGCACTTGCTGAGGCTCAATCCTCCAGACAAATGAAATCAAATCTGTGCATGCGTGTGTGTGTGTGTGTTTACCGTTTGTGTCTCCACATCTGCAGTTTGTGAGTTTATAGTTTGGAAAACCCGATAGCCAGAGCAAAGAAAACAAGGACATTCAAACTGAAACAGTGCCTTTCCAAACTACTGAAGTAAAAAAACTCAAATCGATACACATTCATTCCTTCATTTTCTTTTCAGCTTAGTCCCTTTATTTATCTGGGGTCGCCACAGCGGAAAGAACTGCCAACTAATGCAGCTGCAACCCAGTACTGGGAAACACCCATACACACTCTTTCACGCACACACGAGACGGCCTATTTCGTTTATTCAATTTACCTATACCACATGCCTTTGGGTTGTGGGGGAAACCGGAGCACCCCGAGGAATCCCACACAAACACTGGGAAAATATGCAAACTCCACACAGAAATGCCAACTGACCCAGCAGGGGCTCAAACCAGCGACTTTCTTGCTGTGAGGCGATTAAGCTGCCCACTGCGCCACCATGACGCCCCATCAATACAAATTATATATTACTATTTTACACTTAAAAATTTGACACTTGCTGTTTGTTAAGACTACTTATTTAAAATGAGCCAAAACAACACAATTCTTGACTTTTATTGGCACAACTTAATTGTTTTATGTTCAATCCACATACATTTGTAAAAAGCTAACTTAACTTAAGTTAACTTCATTCCTTCATGTTGTCCTAACACAAGTTGTTTATCTGGAACCCATTATTTTTTACAGGGTCTATTAGAATTCCTGCTGACTTAATTTTTTTAGTTGAATCAAATTAACTTTTCTAGTCATCAAAACTTACATCAAAAAAACTAACTAAAAATATGAAGTTAAACTTTGTATAAGTAAAAATTTTTTTTTTGACCGAAATCTGATTTACTTAAAATAAGTTAAAGCAATATAAAGACATTTGCTGTCTTGACTTTTTGTCATTTTTACAGTGAATACATAAATTTCTTCAGTTTTATTACTGATATTTATAATTTTACATACAAAACAAGATATATATTTATTTTATTACAGTGGTCTGTTGTTATTCGCGGGAGTTAAGTTTAAAAATAAGCGGCAATCGGCAAAATCCGCAAAGTAGTGTGCTTTATTTTTTACTAAGACCGAATGCATGTGCGAGAGAGCGAGAGACTATTAACGTTACCATTATTAATTACTATTACTAATATGACTTTGTTTGTTGTCCAAAGAAATAAGCACACATTTGTTATCTGCATAACAAAATAAATAGTTTAGTTGACAGTGTCACACTACACACTTTATACAACTTTCCCAGATGAAACTAAAGATAAAACTATTTGATCTTCAATTATTTATTCCGTAATGCCGTCCTTCACCTGGTAACTTCTACTTTCCTTTAGCATGTCCAGAAGTTCAACTTTTTGCGCGATGGTTAGCGAATTCCTCTGCTTTTTGGGTGTTACCACAGAATGTTTCAGAATTTACAGTCCATCACTTCAGAGCCGGTCAAAGATTTATGTAAAATTGGCAAGCTAAACGCATTCTGTACTGTACAGGAGACACGGCATGGAAGAGATTAATTGACAATGGTCTACAGCCAGTCAGGACGCAGAACACAATGTGCTAATCAGGATGCAGAACACAATGCACTGTAAAAAAATTACATTTAAAAAATCTGCCAAACTGCGAGAAGTGAAACATGTTAAAGTGAGGGACCACTATATAACTATTTACTACTGGATTTATTATTGTATATTTATTATTATGCTATATATATATATATATATATATATATATATATATATATATATATATATATATATATATATATATATATATATATATATATATATATATATATATATATGCTACATATTACTATGCTCCGTTGCTTGAATAAATTCTGAAATTACTTTAAAATATTTTCAGATATATTTTAGTTTTTTATTTATTATTATATTGAATATTTGTAATTCTTTACAAAAAACAAAAAATATCATATTATAGATTTTAAAAATGCTTTTTATTATTATTTATTATTAGACATGTCTGCTTGTAAGTGATACAGTAATATATAGTAATACTGTAGTGAATTTCTGCACAACTTCATTCATTTTCCTTCGGCTTAGTCCCTTATTTATCAGGGATTGTCACAGCCGAATGAACAACCAACTATTTCAGCATATATTTTACACAGCGGATGGCCTTCCAGCCACAACCCAGTACTGGGAAATTTGTGCACAATTTTTTAAACACCAAATGTGCTCATAGTAGAACAAATCATTTTAACTGTAGATGATTAAAGAATGAAGATGATTTTACCAGATAATATCCTAGCTTTAGCCGACAGAATGATGTTTTTGTTAATGTCTGTAATGGTAGAGCAGAGATGCTACAGCTTGTGGAAATGGATGTGAGAGCAATGAACGAACCGGCAGACATTACAGAAGCAGCAGAGTGAAAGAACAGCAGGAGCTCCTTGAGAAATGCTGCAATAACTCTGTTCTTCTATTGTAAGTCTATTCTGAATCTATTATTCAGTGCAGACTCTCAGAAGAGAAAAGCGCAGATCTGAGAGGAAAACTTATCTAGAGTAAAACTACTTATCTGAAGCTTTAATAAAATGAAAATAATATTCAAAATATAAGAACATTTAATAAGTTATGTATTAGTTATCTATTTTGTAAATATTCATACATACAGCTGACGTCAGAATTATTAGCCCCCCTAAATTATTAGCCCCCCTGTTTTTTCCCCAAATTCTATTTAACAAAGAGATTTTTTAAAACACATTTCTAAACATAATAGTTTTAATGAAACATTTCTACACTGCAAAAATGATTTTTTACTTAGATTTTCTTCTTTCTAGTCCAAATATCTAAAAAAAATTCTTATATCAAGAAGCCTTTTCTAGGCAAGCAAAACATATAGACTTGTTTTCAGAAATTATATGCCAAAATTAAGTGAGATTTTCCTTAAAACAAGCAAAATAATCTGCCAATGGGGTAAGCTAAATAATCTTGTTTTTCCTTTTGACATGAAATTTTTTTGCTTGCCCCATTGACAGATTATTAGTTTTAAGGAAAAACTGACTTAATTGGAATATTATTTCTTAAAACAAGACGATTTGTTTTGCTTGATTTGCAAGACCTTTAAACTTAACCAAGTTTTTAAGTTCATATTGACCTTTTCAGTCAATTGGATATGCTAAAATTGACCGTAGTATAAGTGAGTGTGTGAATGAGTGTGTATGGATGTTTTCCAGTGATGGGTTCTGGCTAAAAAGGCATCCGCTGCGTAAAACAAGTGCGGAATAAGTTGCCGTATCATTTCGCTGTGGTAACCCCAGATTAATAAAGAGATTAAGCCGAAAAGAAAATGAATTAATAAATAAATGTATAATGTCCAAAAAAGCTTTTATTTTGGATGAATTTTTAATTTCTAATGAAAAGTTAATTTATTCTTAATAAAAGAAAAATCAAGTTTGTTTTCAAACAAAATTTGATTTAAAAGGTTGGTTTAATATAAACATTTATCTTGCTAGTTTGCTAGGATTTATATCATATTATATAATTTATATTATATTAAGGCAAGTAAGAAAAAAAATATTTTTTTTTTGGCATTTGCCCTGCAAAAACTCAGGCCAGTAAATGTATCCAGACGGGACACTCGTCCTCTGCCAGCTGTATGAGACTTACCTCTTTCGTCTCCGCGTCCCGAACCCTGACAGCCGTCTTCATCATCACACTCGCCACTGCCTTCTGCACTGCTGGACTCCTTAACATCTGTGCCACCTGTGCCCAAACCAGTCGTTGCCCACATCTCCTGTTACCAAACACACACAACACACACTTTTGGGATTGATGTTTTATGGGGACTTTCCATAGACCTATTTATAACGCCACCTTGGAATTATAAGGTTCTTTCTGCGTTCTAAAAGATTTTGAGATAATGAGCTTCAAAGTTTTTGCATTCCATAGCAAACAGTATATGTGTAACTTTTAAAAAAAATTAAAAAGTCTTAAAATGTAAACAACTTATAAAAAACATCTCATAATGTAAATAAGTTGTCATTTAATAAGAATATGTCAACTCAATTTGGACAAAAATGTCAGATAGAACCTTATAATTCTAACATACGATTTGTATACTGTATATTCTGTCCTCTTGCCCCAACCATACCCCTATAGTCAATCTTCACAGTTTTATGCTTTTTAAAAAAAATATATTTAATTCTGTGTGATTTATGAGCGTTTTGCTAACAGAGAGCAAAACAATGTCCCCACGTGGTCAAAAAACTGGCGACTGCTTTTACTACATAAATTGATGAATACCTAAACCAATAAATATGGTCAGCGTTCTAATTTTATTATTATGTTTTTTATTCATTTCATTATGTTATTTTTGCATTTAAACATATAAGTGCCACTATTGCTTTATTTGCAGAATAATCAAGAACTGCACACAAGGGAAAAAATTACATGATAAAATATTATGAAAGTTAAATGAATATTTTAAATATTGAGCACTTGCATGAAAACAAAAATGTTTGATCAAGTCTTAACACATGGTGAACATGTTATTAGAACATTAGTTGTGTGTTTCTCACATGATTTACCACATGATTTGAACACACTATTAACAGGTTGTTAGCATGAATGACACTCCAATCATGTTTTACCATGATTTTTAACACATTTCTAACATTCCCTAGCATACTGTTAACATACTGCTAACACGATTTAGCATGCTGATCGCTTGTTTCCTATGGTTACACAGGAAGATAGAAATACAGACAGATAAAACTTTTGATAAAAAATGAGAATCATATTCCTGCTATCATCAAACACAATGCTAACATGTTACCACACTGATAGCTATATGCTAGACATGTTTGTAAAGTGATTTACCACACTACAATGGCAATACGTCAAGCATGATTTAGCATGCTAACATGTTGCTAACATGCTGCTGAAATACCTATTTTAGTTAGCATGCTGAGAGCCTGTTTTTACCCCCTCATCTTTGTTAGAACAGATAGATAGTTTCTGTAACTACTAGTTTTGTGTAATGTATCATAATTACTTCCATAAGTCCAAGCCCAATATGCAGCTGAATAGTGAACTTAGTCTGAAATATGAAGCGAGCGAGTCGAGTGTTCAGCTCAAGAAGTCAAAGCTCAATAGAAAACAATTCCAGCTCACTAAACAGTGATTCAGTCAAGTGTAAACCCAATCTCCACAGACAGAGAATATTAAACACATGGTTCAGGGAATCACATAAGTGCATAATTCATGACATCTTAACAGAGTTATTTTCTGGCTTCCTATTTTGATTCTGATTTTATATTCAGACTTACTCTTTACAACAACAACTATCAGCAGAATAGTTAGGTTTAATATTGGGTAGAGCAGTATTTTGGATCTATAAGAATTCACTGTGTGTGTCTAACAAGTGTGACAAGACTTTGCAAGTACATTTCAGCTTACACTAACCTTGAACCCAACCCTAACAGTCTACTTATAATCTAATGAGAATTAGTTGCCATGTAATTGCACTTAATTCAACAAACGGACCATCAAAAAATAGTGTGACCAATAGTTCTAACTCATATGTATAGATATGATCAACGATTTTAGGAAGGCTGCTTCCACACAGGTGAACACTTCCATTAAAAATCAGACTGTGGAAAGTGTGTGATCATATAAAATACATTGGCACAATTATTGGCTCCAATGTCTCCTTTGACGAGAATTGTGAAGCAGTGTGTAAAAAAGGGCACCAGCAAATATTCTGTTTGAGAAAGTAAAACTGTTCCCATATTGATAAACACATGAGGATTTTATTCTGCCATGCTTTTCTTGAATCTGTTTTATCTTTTACTTGGGGTCATGGTTTGGGAACCTTTCTATTAAGAATAAAAGCACACTTAATGAGATAGTGATACAGTGGTCCAGTAAACTGACTGTGGTGTCACTAGCCAATCTGGAGCCAGTCTCCTACCTTCTGGTCGCAGGTTTTCTATTAACAAGCTGTAGAACTAAACGATACAAAAATAGTTTCATACCAGCAGCCACTAGAGGATTAAATAAGGCATAGACAAAAACAGAGGTGTTTCTGTGCTGGAAGAGAGTGCTAGACACTTGAAAAGATTATTTATTTATATATATTTTTTTAAAGAGAGTGTTTTGCATGTTTATGTTTTATGTCTTTATGTCCATTTGTTGTTGTCACTATGTGAGTTTTTTTTTTAGTGTGGCGCTGTTATGAAATGAGGACCTAAATAACCTAACCTAAAGTAACCTTACCTAGTTATTAGCCCCCTTGAATTATTAGCCTCCATGTTTACTTTCCGCCCAATTTCTGTTAACGGAGAGCAGATTTTTTCAACACATTTCTAAACATAATAGTTTTTAGTTCTAATAAATGATTTCTTTTATCCTTGCCATGATGACAGTAAATATTATTTGACTAGATGTTTTTTCAAGACACTTCTATACAGCTTAAAGTGACATTTACAGGCTTAACTAGGTTAATTAGGTTAACTAGGCAGGATAAGGCAATTAGGCAAGTTATTGTACAACGATGGTTTGTTCTGTAGACTATTGTAAAAAATGTAGCTTAAAGGGGCTAATAATTTTGACCTTAAATTGGTTTAAAAAAAATAAAAACTGCTTTTATTCTAGCCAAAATAAAACAAATAAGACTTTGTTCGGAAGAAAAAATATTATCGGACATGCTGTGAAAATTTCCTTGCTCTGTTAAATATATTTTGGGAAATGTTTAAAAAAAAACAAAGGGGGCTAATATATATAATCATGTAATCATTGTATCATAAACATACATTTTTATAAAATAAAAAGTAATTATCACAATTAATAATTTGTACTGTTGAAAAATAAAGCAATTAAGTGAATAATTATAATAATTATTTAATGTTTTAGATATCTAATAACAGTTATATTTGTCTAAATATTAAAAAATAAAATATATTATTAAATAAATAATATTTAATAAACAATGTTCAGTATTAAGTTATTTAAATATTAATATTATGATAGCCTAGTGGCAACCTGAGTTTGATTACCAGCTTGAAGTCTCATGTCGATCCGTCCCCTCTCTGCTCCCAAAGCTTTCCTGTCTGTCCTCCACTATCCTATCCCAATAAAAGGTGAAAAAACCCTAAAAATAATAATTTAAAAGAATATTAATATTATTAAATAATTAGGCTAAAATATTATTTAATTTATGATAATATAATTTGATATTTTATAAAATAACGTACTACGATGAAACATATTTTGCATTCACTTCCCCTTCCTCCTGTGTCTTCCAGACGGAAGGAAGGAAACACAATTAAACTCCACAGTGACTTTGAGGGAATCGTCCCCCAGGGGACTGTTAATTAACTCCTGTATAATGAATTATGGCAGGCGTCAGACGAGCACCATAGAAACAGACTGTCCTCCTCCAGTGCCTCCATCCGCTTCTATTCAGATCAAATAGCAGCACACTTATTACTGCTGGCTTTATTCTTCTCTGCCCGGGTCATTATTCAATTGAGCCGCACATTACATTTTAATTGCTTTGTTTGTGATTAGAGAAGAAACAATTAAAGGAGGATCTCTCCCCCTTAAAGGGACAGTTCACCCAAAAAAGAACATTTTATTACGTTTTTATTATATTTATTTTAATTCATATTATTCTTTTATAAAATAGTTGTGCATAAATAATGCAATTATTAAATATTTTAATGAATAATAATTTAAATAATTTCAAATTCACAACTTAATTAATCATTAAATAATGTAAATGCAATTAATTAAAAGTAAAAGTATTGAATATATAACTACACTCAAAAATATTTTTGCTGCTTGTTCAAACTACTTTAAAATGAGCTGAATCAACACAATTCTTGAGTTTTTTTTTGGGACAACTTAATTGTTTTATGTTTAATCCACTTAAATTTGAAAACAATTAAGTTAACTTAATTGATTTGTGTTGGGACAACCTAAAAGAATTATGTGGAACCCAGCATTTTAGTGTATATTTAATATAATAAATGGTCATTTAATAACTTTAATTAACATGAAAATAGATTTGACAAAAAATTACTTTTGTTTCATGATATATTTCTTAAAGAAGCAAGAGAGTACGGTTTGGACTCTGAGGTCTTTGATTATGAAAAGTAGGCGTTTACTCACATGACCCTCCTTATATAATAACCCCTGCCCCCATGTATCCCAACTGACTGGTCCAAAATGCTCCTGATCAACTCCTATGAAATGAATTAATAATTAAAATAATAGTTTTAATCATTCAACGAAAAGTACTCAATACATCATTATTTTACAAAACAGTTATGTACAAATCATATTAATATTAATAATAATTTAAAAAGTCAATTAATTATTGATTTAAAAGAGGCAATTAATTAAAAAGCAAACAAATCAATATATAATTATATTTATTTATTTTTTTTTTAGATTTTAATAAATAGTCATTTAGGGCGACACAGTGGTACAGAGGGTAGTACGATCGTCTCACAGCAAGAAGGTCGCTGGTTTGTACCCCGGCGGGGTCAGTTTGCATTTCTGTGTGGAGTTTACATGTTCTCACCGTGTTCACATGAGTTTTCTCTGGTTTTCTAGTATAGGCACATTGAATACGCTAAATTGGCTATAGTGTATGTATGTGAATGCAAGAGTGTATGGGTGTTTCCCAGTGTTGGGTTGCAGCTGGAAGGGCATTTGCTGCATAAAACATATGCTGGATAAGTTGGCAGTTCATTCCGCTGTGGCGACCCCTGATTAATAAAGGGACTA